TTTTGGTATCCATAGGATGGTTTAAGACTACCAAGTGCGCTAAAGTAGAACTATTAATGCCCTTGACTTCGCCCTTCCCTAACCATACCGGAAGGTGTTCTCGTACTCTTTTTGACCTCAATTCTCCCCCCACCCCACTGCCCCTGACAACAATAACACTATATCTTTTCATCTAATTGCCATTTACATGTACAGGCCTGAAGAGAATTTATCGAAAGCAAACATATGCTGGCCAATTTATCTTTTGATGTTTACAATGGGAATTTTCGCAAATTTAAAAGCTTACAAAACATTGTTATTTTTCTCCCCCGAACATAGATGGTCGTAACGGCAGCCGTGCTGACTGGGTTTCTGGAAAGTGACGAGAATGGAGTGCGCAACTGGCAGGGCATCAACCCGTCCACAAATTCAGAGGGTGATCCCGTCGATGATCTGCTCAGTGCCCTCCAGACTGGCGCCTCGGAGCATTCTGTGCACCTCATACTCGGCGCGCCGCTCTATGCCACGAGTATTGATCACCCCTGGTTTGGCCAGAGTGTTAATGACCTGACCTCCGTCTACAAGGACTTTTATATGTGGCAAAAGGCTGGCGTAAGTTCGCAATGTCTTTAATTTGTGTGTGGTTGATAACCCCACCCCCCTCCTAGAAGTCTGAAGGGTGATTTACCAGTGTGGTGTCTCTGCATGCATTATGGTGTAATGCCTTATCGGGGGGGAGGTTACGTAAGTTAAACCCTAGCAACTGCGATCATCAGACCATGGTTACTTGGTAGAGAAGAAGTCTTGGAAAGGCCAGAATAGAAGGAACAGTATATTGTGTACACAGAGGAACGAAGAATAGAAGGGAAGAGATTGAGCACGACCTTCCGCGGGAGTGGCGTGATCCAAAGTGCGACTCCGTTGCAGACATCCACGCGGCCCAGAGAGACAGCAAACACGCGTGCAGGCTTTTTATTCATCGTGTGGCCAGAAAAGCATCTATTCGCCAACTGTGATTGGCTGATCCAGGCGTCAGGAAGCGCAGTCGTGAGATTCTAGCGAAGTCCACTTCGGCTCGAGCTAGTCACAAGAGCCTGTCCTACTTTCCCACCCCAAAACCCCTGTTGCAGCCGGTCCCATACGACAGATTGTTGGGGGTTGAGGTGCACTACTTAAACTACATTTGCCTTGGCACAAACAAACTAAGAATACCAATTTACTGTTCGTGTATTTATGGTACATAATATAATTTCTAGGATCCTGCATAATAGTCTCAAGCACCATTTTTGTTGGCTCATTTTTAAAACCCATAGCATGGGATGAGTTTTACTAAAATTAGTGACTGGTAGGGGGATGTGTGAGAGACGGAGGGAGGTGACAGGTGGAAGGCTGATATAGGGCGTGGCCAACGAGTTTGAGGCTGGGACGAAGAACGCCAGTCATGGAGCGCTGATCGCAGGGGGTTAAGGTTAATCGATTAAACTCTAGCAGCTGCGATCTTCAGGCTCAGTTCCTTAGGAGAAGAGAAGTCATCGGAGGCCAGAATGGCAGGAACAGTTTATTCTGCACCAAACGAAGTGGGGAATAGGCAGGAGGAATTTGACTGTCAGATGAGCGAGCAGCTTCCGGCCACAGCGCTGCGTCTGAAGTTACGAGAGCGTTGATGATTGCCGGAAGCCCAGTGTACGCTTTGTTCCTGCAGCCAATTAGGAAATGGTGCAGTCTGGTATGCCCGACTTCTCACGGGTGAAAGTTTTGGGGTGACGGAGCCCGTGCTGTTATTGTTGTTGGTGGTGGTGTTCACGTCGATCGAAAGACTGGGGATAGAATTTTTGAGGGGTGTGCCGTGGGTAATGCCGCTGTCATGTACGCGCATGTGGCCAAATAGGCCCATGCGGGGAATAAATGCGCGAGGAAATCGGAGGAGGCAGTGATCTCTGCTGGGTATTGATGTTCAAGGCATTGGTTCATTGGCCTCTGTGCGATGGATTTGCAGGTGACCGATCAGGCCGATGCGTGAGGTGAATCTACGATTACAGTGTGGGGGCTAGACTAGACTCCAGTCCCCATTGCCGGTGGAGGTAGCAAGTGGCGCGTTGGACGGGGTGGCGTGCGTGAGGACTGTGGTGTCCGTGTTTGTGGCGGC